AGCAAACTTTAAATCTTTACAGATGTTATCAATAATTAAACTTGATAATCGAAGATAAACTGTTGAATATGTAATATGAGTATGAAAACATTAATATTTTTAATAGAACATACGACTTTTTGTTGAAGTGGGTAATTAAGAATAATATTAATGATATTTATAAAATTAGTATAATAAACTTCTATTACTTATAATGCTTGATTTTTTATTACGTGCCTGGGTTAGATGTACAGTAATATTAAATACTATATTGTTTATTCAAGTAAGAAATTGAATTTCAACATAATAATGACGTATAACAGTAATAAAATCATTACTCTCACGATTTCAAAAACATCATAATTTAAATGGTAGTTATGTCGAATTTTTTCTGCAAATAAAGTCAAAATTTGTACAAAAATGACAATCCCTTATTTAGATTAAAATATCTCCTAAACTATTATATTTACGATATAAATAGTTTAATACTTTCTCATACAAAATAAAAAACTGCATCGACTGGCGTAAAAAAATCTATATGATTTTATTTCAAAAAACATTGTTGATTTTCATATGACTTTTGCACATCCACTTATAAAGAAAACAACAAAACCATAATATGCTCCTCTCGAAATCACTCAATTCTGTTTAAAACATTTTTTTTACGAACATTTAATGACAGCATTAAAAAATTAAAATCAAATAAAACACCCTGTGTATGCTTTGTTTAGGGTTTCCAAAAATGTGTACATAAAGACGGATCAAAAGAAAATAAAAAATGTTTATTTATTTATCAACAAAGATAACAAGAATTTCTTTGCACACACAAACGTTTTATTGTTATTTATTCATTTAACTTATTTCTTGGTGACTTTTTTTTGTCTGTGCCCATGCGTGTCCTCAACTGTCGTCATCATAGTTTTAACGTCCGTTATGTTTTGATTTAAAGCTTTTAATTCGTGTAAAGCTCGTTTAGCTAATTTGCCTTCCGGCGTCTCCACTGGCTCCAACAGGAGTATCCTAAGGGATCTTTTTAAAAGATCTGCGGCTTTCTCGAGACGAGAAGATAATTCCGTCAAAGAAATGTCGCGTGCTGCGTACGCGCGATTCGCTAATAGCACCAATGGTAAATGCATTTCGTATAACATTATACCTGAAAATTAAGCAACAATAATTAGATACGAAAACCCTATCACAATTATACATAGTATTCTTATTCATTTAAAATATTTCCATTGACACGTTCACTACCAGCGTTACGTATTTGCGACGATCAATATTTCATATTTTGTGTAAACAACTGTAAATTACATTTACATGTGTCTATATCCAATATTGCAACGCACGACGCAATGTGTAGAAAGTGGAGGAGATTTATTTTCTTGAATATTATTTGTATTTTGTAAAGACGATATATTTTATTTAATAAAATATTGTAACCGTGAAGGTTGCTATTAGAATAAATGCTGGTATAATTGTGATAGGGCTTTCGTATCTAGTAAATTATATTATTGTTCACCGTAACACTCTTCAAGTGAGAATGAATTCAATAAAATTATAAGAATACATTTTAATTTTAATTTTTTAGTAGCTTCTTAGAAAAATAAAAAAATGTGATGAAGGTGTCTTCGTACAATAGAACAAATATGACGATAGTAATTTTAATTTTCATTTTACTTTAATGAAGTTTATAATATTCATATTCATATTCTACATAAGTAAATATAAACTTCATTTCTTTATATTTGTTTACGTTGTATGTTACTTTGAATATTGCAAAATATTCATTGAAATAAAACTATTTGTATACTGCTTATAATTAACTCTATTATAATTTTTCCAGTTTATATACGTATATTTTTTCTCATCACCAACTCGCACTCAACTCAGGCTGTATATAAGTAATGCACAAGGAATTTTAAAAATTACCTTTTAATCGAGATATCCCCGGCTCAACAATTTCCAATACATCGCAAACTTCTTTGCACGTGTCTAACATCTTTTGCATACATTTCTTCTGTGGATTTGGAGTCCCCATTTCCTTTCTATACGCTGCCAATAATTTTTGTTTTAAAGACAGCATTAAATAATGATTCGGATGAAATGATCGAGCTAATTTAGTTGTCAGCGTTTCCAGACCCTTGAACACAATTTTTTAAGAAAATAACAAGTAATATTCATACGCAAATCACAAATTTTACACATTCATAGCATATATAATTGTATAAAACATAATGGAATAAGAACCTAAAAAAAATGTTTTTAAATTACGTATTTGAAATTGTAAATTACGTGTTTTCATAAAAAGTATATCGTTTTCGGATATTAATTTTTCATAAAAATCTAACAGAAACATTATTTCTATAAGAAATAATATAGATACCATTGAACAGAAGATAATTTACCATTTCAATTCCATGTAAAATACTCTTATTCTCTTATTTAGAAATTACAAAACTTCCATATTTCCAAAATGCTCTTAACACTAGGTTTACGAAACTTATCAATTTAATGTATATCGAATTGTATAAATATTATTTGGTAAATGTTTATGACTACTTTTAATCCTCTAGTTTCCAAGATCCAAATAAATGAACATCAATTCTTTTAGGAACGATAGAATAAACTGCACGATAAATGCCCGTAAACCTAATTCTTAAAGTTCTTCCTTTCCACCTAATACATATTTGTTAAATAAATATTTACATTATTAGATCAACATGAAACAGAATTTTAGGAACGTACTCTAATGTCATTGTCATCTGTGTCCTCGATCAATGTCCTACTAATATTCAAAGTAGCCCGTACAAGACGTCCTCCAATGCTCCTTCTACACCTGTTACATTGCCATCTCATGTTCTTTTCATACGGATTGATTGTTAACGGATTCTTGACTCCTACGTAACCTTCCCTGCACCGTGGACATAGGATACAGCTCATGTACGATCCCATTTCATAGGGATCTTTGCATAACGAACATTCGCATTCGAAATACTTTCCACCACGCAAATGTTCTCTTCTACCCGACGTTCCCTAATCATGACACAACGAATACACACGGTATAAATAAGAATTTAAAATGGTCATTCCAAGATCAAATTGTTTGTTTCGAATGCCACGGCGATCAACGATAATCGAAGTTTCCAAATTGCAAGAAAATTATTATAACTTGTAAAATAACTCATGTCGAATAGAAATGTTCAGTAGCCTAAATAACTAGATAATAGTGTAACGCAAGAATTGCAATAGCAAATAATTCTTCCATTTTATCTTAATCACAGACAAAATAAGCGATATATAAAACGTTGATGTTTTTCGTGGTAGTCGACGTGTTAACACATTGACATTACTTATTACTTCCTAACAAAGGCAAATAGTATTAGAATTAATGATTAATCATTTGATATCATAGTTCTTAAGTAACACGTTTATTTAATTACTTATGTTACTAAATATCTTGATTCAATATCACTTTTCTTCTTGCAATTATTTTCAAGCAATTTGGAAGGTCCAGTCATCGGTGACCACTGTGGCGATCAGCGTATTAACCCTTTTAATGGGGTGAGCGTCTGCAGACGTGCTTCATAAAAAGATTTTTCTGTTGTCAGGGAATGCGTTTATAGACGCAATTCCTTCGAATGCGTCTTATAACCCTTTTGTGTGATTCACTAGTTATATAATATAATACTTATTCATTATTTTACCACGAAATGATTAACACTTTGTTCGTTGAGATATCACACTTAATGAATCATTTCTGTCAACAGAACCCCATCAGGAGAGTAACTACTGAAAAATGGCCCCCATTAAAGGGGTTAACAGAGCACGTTAAAAATTGACAAACCAAAAGGGACGACGTATAATTGAAAAGAATGGTTTCGCCTTCTTGGATCGGTACACTGGCGTACACGGTGAGCTGAAAATTGTCGTCAATGGTGAGATGAGTGTTTCCTCTGCAGTCATGTGCCATGAGGGAGGCTTCCGCATATAAACCTCGTAAAAACAGCCCGTCCACACCTCCCGGAGATCGTAGCTCAAACATATTCACATCTAAAATGCTGCACAGTTGTTGCAAAGACTCTGAGGTAGATTCATCGTGATCAGCAATTAAACCAAGATTCCTGATGACCTATTGTAGTGTATGTTTTATGAAAAATGGTTGAATTCGTGTATTATCTTTGAAATTCGATCAGTTTAAAATTGTTTGCATAACAGACGTCGGTAATAATTTAGAAACGAAAGTTCGCATA